CACCCCCAAGTCCTCCTCCTCAGGGCTGCATTTCATAAATGTTCTTCCTTCTGTTCTGGTCTCAGTCACGTCCAGAGGCAAAAGATCTAGGATCGTTTCACTCCAGGAGCTGCTTCTGCTTGATCTTTGTAGTCGTTGGGTGAGATTTGCCACTGGAATCAGAGAGAGCTTAATGTAAGTGAGGTGGCAATCACTTCTGTGAAATTATTACAACTTTATATCAATAAGAAACAATGGTATGGAGTGGGAAAAAATGAAAGGCATTGCTCATGTCTTCCTTCTCCATTGTGCAAGGCAATGGCATGAAGCAGAATTCTTGGAGTTTTTTTTTAAAGGGTTTTCAGGTTAAATGGTTTTCCTGAACTGAATGAAAATTTATCATCTCCCATTAGGTGCTAACTTATCTGGGGAGAAGACAAGTGAGTAGAATGGAATGCAAGAGGAGGAAATAAGAGATTTAAAATTAGGTATATTAATACACTGGGCAAACAAAGCCTCAGTTATTTATTTATTATCTATTAACAAAACATTGTGCAATTCTAATCACATTTGATCTTTTTCCCAGGAATTAGACCGTATGTTTGGAATACAAAAACCCACCACCGAGATTATCAGTGTATTCTGAAAAATGCCTTTAGCAGAGACATGTACTCGTCTACAGAGTTGGTTTTTTAACCAAACAGTAGCTAGTTTGATGGTGCAAACTTATTATTTTTATGAAAAATCTGAGATGTGTTTTATTAAGCTTTTCTAAGAAATGGTGGATAGATGTGTGATTCTTTCCTTCTTGTAACTTTATTCACAGCATTTTCCTTGGAGGGATCTGGAATAAGTTTTGCTGATTTATTCAGGCTCATTGCTTTCTACTGTATTAGCAGGTAAGATGGTGTTATGTTCTGAGTTGCATTTGCTAGACTGTCTTGAAAAAAAGATAAGTCTCAATGACTTGGTTCAGCATGATATTAATGTTGCCAATTGTTGTGGCTTATTATTGAGAGGCTGGTGTTACGTTACCCACCCAACTGTGAAGTGTTGCCATGTTGAACTTTACTTTAGCTGATATCTTTTCATGCTTTCTTAACTGCTCTGTAACTCATTTAACAAGCACCATAAACTATCTTGCAATGTCCATTTCTTGGAATTGCTAGTGAAAAGCATTTTTGAAGCATAATGGAAAAATATCAAATCATACTGTAGAATATGGCAACTGAGAGATGAGAATGTAAATTGTGAACAAAAAAATGGCCTCATTAGCTTTCCAGTTTATGGTTGCCCAACTTGTTTTCCAGGTAGTATGCAGAGAAAAAATAGCTCGTGTTTTTCATCTTTTAAGTTGTTTTCAATTTGACTTTAGTTTGCTGGTGAAAACTTCCAGACTGATGCTCACGCTTTACATTTATCCACGGACAGGGCACAGCCACAGTGTACATCTGCACATTTTCTGAAGGAAGAGGGGAGAGGCAACTTGATGGTCTTGGTCCTTTTACTGCAATGAGGTTGCCAATTAATGTTGACAGTGATGTGATTTCTGGTGGGGGGAACGCTTACTAGGGATGCAGTCAGGTTGTGGTGCTTACGGTTTTGTTCCTGATGGAGAAGCATCTAGACCCCATTTTGCTGAGCTGTACGCGCATGTGATGGAAGAAGCGTTTGTACTGCATAAGTAATTGGTCAGCACTCAGATGAGAAATGAGCTGAAAGTGCATTTAAAAGCAGTTTAATGATGAGAGATTCCTTATCTTGTTGTCCTTTCAGTTCTGCACACTAGCCAGGCTCTGGTAAATTCCCTCTAAGTGCCTACAGGGAATATGCAGCAAAGTTCTTTGCATTACTTTATCCCCTTTCTTTCACTGAAAGCTCCAAGTTGCTTTGCATTGGCTAAAAGTAAGCCCACAAACACACAATAACTTGTTGCCTTGCTCATGAGTCTCGTAACTGAGTGTCTCTCTCTGCAAAGTGATATTTCAGTCAGCCAAGTGTGAGTTTAGCATCCTGGTGCAGTCAGGCTTTCCACTCAGGAAGCACATACAAACCTGCATAACCAGGCTCTTCACCTGTTTATTTTTCTGTTCCTTTTCTTGTTGCCCTTTGGGGAAGGGGAAGGAAGTGCAAAGAGTGGTGATTGCAACTTAGACATGGTGTTAAAGCTTTCCTAGTACTTCTTCCTAAACGCAACTTTAGCTGCAAACTCATCCACAGAAACCAGTAATAAAAACAACTTCAGCTGCAAACTTGTCCAGAGATTTCAGTAAAGATCACTCTTTGATTGTGGGTATGCTTTCGGAAAGCAGATGCTTATTTCTCTATTCAGCGGAGAAACATTGGAAGTGTTTGTCTAATGTTTCTGAAGTGGCAACATCTACTCAGCATCCTTGTCCTCTTCAGGCAGCACTCTAGGATTGCTGGGGGTACAAGAGGAAAATATATAGACTTCTTAGGGAAGCAGATAGGTAGCAGTCATGAGAAAGAGAGAATATCATTTGGTACATCACAGCAAAACCAGGAGGATTTCCCAAAACCAGAGGGAATTTCTTGCAATAGATACCCAGTCAGTTCACATGAGGAATCAAGGGTTACCTGTCTTTGTACTGATGATGTTCTAGACTCTAGATTCTCGGTGGTATGATGTTCAAGGTGTCTTTTCAAATTCTTTTGAGCTAGTGTATCAGTCTTGTGCATATGCTTGATTTGAATTTAAGTGGCATTCTGTGATCCTGTTTTTTCAACAAGTTAACATACAACATAGAGAATATTTATGTGATAAGAACCCACTGTCTGCCTGTGCTACAACAGACGGCTTGTTGACAGCCTTAAAAAAAAAAAAAATTATGCTGACACCAGTGGTATGTAGGATTTCTGTGCTCCATTTGTTCTTGTTTACTCTTAATTACATAAGTACTTCTACTACAGATTTTGCAGTTTAGAATCCCTGTTGTTTAAGGGTATATCGATACCAATTGAGCAGGCAAGAGGTATAGTATTGGTTGATGGTAGTGCTAATACAATGTACATACGGTTAAGTAGGTTTGTCCCTTAAAATCTCTGTCTGAAGGCTTTTTGCACTAGATTTGGCTTATGTTGTTGTTCATGCATTCATGCATCTCCCTTTGTAAACATCCATTGAACTTCTAGTATGCAGGGAAGAGAAACCACATAGGAGAATAAATTATAAAGATTTTCTTAAATGAAGTGTGTTTTCAGCCTAGGACAGAGTAGCACCAAAACATCCTAGCAAAGAAATTTTTAGGGTAGCTGCCCAAGTACTCATTTAAATTTTTATTCCAGGAACTGGAATTCAGCTTTGAGAGCAATCCACAGCATATTCAGAAAATAAGAAGCTTTGTTGAAGGGTTAAAGGCGGATAACACTTTTGTGTCTCACTGTTATGCTTGTAAAAGACCAAGTGTAAAAGCTTCTGCTGTAAGGGGAGAAAACATTGGATGGCTCTGTGGAAATGAGCCTAAAGAGAGTCCTGGGGTCTTCACTGTCATTTGCACTTCACACCGCTTTCCAATGTAAAAAAGCCCTGGGGCTGGTGATGTTTTCATCGTGTGCTGTATGTTTAAAGCTCTTGCTACCTGCTACAGCTAAAGAGGAAAACAAGAATCAGAGTTCAGCCACTGCCAGTGTTGAAAACAAATGCTTTTAAAACTGTGGATGTTGTTGTGGAAGCCATAATTGTTTTTCTCTTTGACAACAGGGATGTCCTTCCGTTCACCCTGAAGTTGCCTCATGCTATTGCTGCAGCAAAGACAGAAGCTGAACTTGAAGAGGTTGCTCAGCTTGGACTGAGTAAGTAGTTCTCTGTATAGATGTCGTTCCCTGTAGCATTGCTGGGAGCTTAAGGAAATAGTCTGCATCAGTAAGTAGTTCATATTGGTCAGTGATGATACAAATTTCATTTAGAAAAGCAGCTTCTCTTATTGGGAAGGCCAAACCTTGTACTTGCCAAATGGTGGCCTTGGTGCTTTTTCTTCCTTCTGTGCCTTCTGTCATATTTTTGTTAGAACTGTTTCCTTCCTTCCCTCTCATCTGCCTTCTCTGGGCAGCCCTTGGGCAAAGCAAGACTTACAGTCTGCAGACAGAGGTTTGGTGTAGCTTCTCCTCCAAGGGCTGATGTTGGCTGCAGGCTCCTGTAGCAGGCACTAGCTTGATAATTTGTTGGAGTTGCTAGGAGAGTGTAGGAACTCAGGTTCACTGTTAATAAAACTTCTGTTCAGATTGACATATGATCTTAGAATGGTGATTTCTGAGATCGGTGGCTCAATGCAGTAGCATATTAATAAAAGGAGGAGCATATACATAGGATCTGCAAAACATATCCATGCACATTGGTTTGGTGAATCTCTTAAAATACCAAAATAAAATGCAAGGACATGTCCTTGTATTGCTTGACTGCTACAGCCAAATACAGGCTCATTGTGAAATGTACCTTGAGCTTGCAGGAGATGGAAGGCCTGGTAGGATTTGAAACATGGGCTCCACCCAGATGAATCGTTGAGCAACTCCTGCAGAGTGCTGAATGGCCTCATTTCCTTTTGCAGGAAGGGAGGGTTGGCTGTCAGCAGTCTTTGTCCCAGTAGATTTTTGGATCATCTTTGATTTAGAAACGGATCCTCACTAAATCAGTGTTAACATGAGGCTCTCTAAGAACTATTTGGTGAGACTTTGCACCAAAGCCATACACGGGGAAGTATTGCACTGCTTTGCACTTTGTTTTGCTGCAGTAGTGATGCAATTAAGGGATTTGCTTTAGAGAGGAGAGGAATGGCTTCAGCACTGCTTATCTGCAAGTTCAGGCAATTAGATGAAAGTATGGATTTTCAGGGGAATAGAGGCAAACATGGAACTGTTGATTAGGTGAATGTTTGGATGGGGGAGTGGGAAATAAAAGATCTGATAGGGATACAGTGTAGTGAAGTCAGTCTCCCAGTGACACCTGGAAGCCTTAAAGTAACATTACGTGAGTTTCTCCATAGGAAATGATAATGGTGGTGTTGAGCAAGCTCTCCAGACTAACCAGACTGTCTTTGTCCTCAGTACCTGAGAGCACGATGGCCTACTTGCTGCAGAGTTAGTCTTCCTCTTGAACAGTCTTTCTATGTTGTGTGTGTGGTTTCTTTAAGCTAATACATTTGAAAGCTGAGGAGGAGACTGATGGATCAGTGTTTAGCTGTGCGGTTTGTGTATTTGGGATCAATTACCTGCTATACACTGGATTAATATCACAGTTTCTGTGAAGCAAAAACCAGACAACAAAGTTGAGATTTTGATGGAGTTTTAGGTGTCGATGTGCAAAAGAGCATACCAGGAAGTCAGCCCTTCAATGCTGTGGACCCAAGAGATGCCTAAAAACTCACAAGAGTCCTTTCTGTTAAGCGTGAGCTTTTCTTAAGCAACACGTAGGCACAAAACACCCTGGTTTGAACACAGAGGATTGCAGCTCCTGTGAGAGCTCTGTTATGCCATAGGCTCAGAGGGAGAACTACACAAGGCAGATCAACAGCATGTAGCCCAGCAAACCACATCATGAAGAACTGGTGGTAAAGGTTTCAAGGCTGTTGCCAACATGTAAGGTTTCATGTGCTGAACGGAAGATTCCCCCTCTCAGTCTCTCTTGTAAGCACCACTGCAGGTGAAACACATCATGCATGTTTGCAACAGCCCACGTGCCAGGCACGCTGGCGGGTCTGCTGAGGGATCCGCAGGCAGGATGTGAAGTCATGGAGCTGGAAAAGATGCAGCAGCATTGCATGACTGTGTAGAGAAATATGTCTGTGCCTACATATGTTCTCTGGCAGCGGCCTATCGTCATGGGCCATTTCCTGTCTTCTGCCCTGTAGGCAAGACACAGCTGTTGGGCATGGGCTCTGTTGTGAAGTCCTTGGCACTCATGCATTTGGGCTCAGGTGTCTGTTCAACAGCCCAAATGAGGCATCTGTGATGCTACAGGAAGAGGTACCATGTCAAGATTGGCAAGTTTTAGCAAAAAATCTCCTTTCTCTGGTATTCCTCCCTTATTTCAATCTGATTGCTGTCCTCGAGGGCTTCTCTGGTTTCAGTCTTCACGCTTGCAGGACCTGACGGGCTTTACCATTGACTCAGTTTCACAAATGTGCTGACACTTTGCTGGACAAGTGCAGAGGTTGCAGCTGAAATTTGCTGGTTTAGCACAGGTTTTCCACACTGCTGGTGTGGGACTGCACGTTCGATCTATTTATTAGCTGCTGAGTGTCTAAAACCTCAGGCAAACTGTGTCACCATTGTGAAGGCAGGGCTGCAGGCCAGTGCTCTTAGAGGCACCAGCATTTGGTCTGCGTAGCTAAAAATTATGTGTGCACCCACCACAGCAAAATGTGAGCTGTCTTTTCATCTGTAGTTTCATTTCTTCAGTATCAAAAGAAACCAAACCAAATTTTTTGCTGAGTTGCTGTAAGCAGCCATCAGCTGGTATAAATCAACCTAACTATTGTCTTTAATGGAGTGAGCTTATTAATACCAGCTGAGAATCTAGGCTTATTTCTCCTGAGTGAGATGCTAGTGAGTAGTTTATGTTCATTTCAGTCTCAAGCTGGTAAGAATTACTGTGCTACAGTCTCCATTCCTTTCTTTGATTCTCAGTTTATTTTTAAGCTTAGTTCAGTGGGCTGACTTGAAGCTATGCATTAGTCATGATATTTATAAATGAGTAAGAGCAGCCCCAGGAGTGAAGCATGCAGTTATGTCTGGTGGTGCTTTAAGAGGTTCACTCGGAATTTTTTTTCCCCTCGTCTTGAATTAATAAAAGCTTGTCTAAATTTCTTAATACTTGAGACTGGTGATGTTGAGCTGAATGTTCTGAAAGCCCTCTGCATGCTGTTTTGCATTCTTACGTTAATGCGATGATGATTTTCAGACTTTTGGAGCTCCCCGGCTAACGGCAATCCCCTGGATCCTTCACCTCCTCGTAGGCCTGTGCCTTTGGACAGTGCTTGTAAAGACTCGCGCCAGCTCTGCCTTATAAATGGAGTGCATTCTATACGAACCAGAACGCCTTCGGAGCTGGAGTGCAGCCAGACCAATGGAGCGCTGTGTTTCATTAATCCTCTCTTCTTAAAAGTGCACAGCCAGGATGTCAGTGGAAGTCTGAAAAGGCAGAGCCCAAGAACTCAAGACGTGAATGGCACAGTGAGGCCTCGCTCCCCCCCGCCCCGGCCGCCACCACCTTCTATTAATAGCATCCTCACGAGTCCACAGCTTTCCAGGGCTATAAAGCAGGCGAGCATGCCAGAAACGGTCAACCATAAGAAAGAGAGAGGCTTGGATTTGCTGCAGAATAAACCAGCCCCTATTCCGCCTCCTCGGCTGAAGAAGCAGGCTGTTTGCTCAGAGGTGGAAACTAGCTCAAAGACCTCAGGGGTAATTCGACCGGTGCGTGTGCCTGAAGCTGCTGGCGTTCCAGGTGAAACTCTCCCTGAGCTGGCTCCAGCAGCTGCCAAAAAGACGGTAGTTACCAGCTCTGAGTCACACATACCGTGGAATGGAGGCAGGCAGAGACTGAGCGACATGAGCATTTCCACCTCCTCGTCCGACTCGCTGGACTTCGATCGGAGCATGCCACTGTTTGGCTATGAGGGGGACACTAACAGCAGCCTGGAGGATTTTGAGGGGGAAAGCGACCAAGAGAGCATGGCACCCCCTTTGAAGCCCAAGAAGAAAAGAAACAGTTCGTTTGTTCTCCCCAAGATTGTGAAATCTCAGCTACGGAAAGTCAGTGGCGTTTTCAGTTCCTTCATGACCCCTGAAAAGAGGATGATTAAGAAAATTGCAGAGATGTCCCAGGACAAACGCACTTATTTTGGATGCCTAGTGCAGGACTATGTCAGCTTTCTCCAGGAAAACAAGGAGTGCCACGTTTCGAGCACTGATATGCTGCAAACAATTCGGCAGTTCATGACCCAAGTCAAGAACTATTTGTCCCAAAGCTCCGAACTTGATCCCCCAATAGAATCACTGATTCCCGAGGATCAAATAGGTAAGAAACACTCTCTCCTGTGTTTTGGGGGAAGGTGAGAATGCGTAATCTGTGTTTATAGTGATTAGTCTTCATGCCGGTTTGGAAAGGTGGGTTGACTTCCCTAGCAGAGTTTGAGCCATTGCGTGTTTGAGTCTTAAAACAAAACAACCCCCCGCACTGCCCCGTCTCCTTCCCGCCCCCCCAATCACCCAAGCAACTCGGAAGAACTATGCTACAAAGTTGCTTATAAATAAAGCAGCTGCAATGTGAACTTTTTACCTGTGATTATTACTCTTTTTTTCCTAGCTGCTGTATTGTTAACAATACAGAATCCTTTATTTGCTGGCACGCATGTATTTCTCCCTGAATTGGGCTGAAATAGTTCTCGCTGCTTGGACCAAAACTGTGCCAATTTTAACCATACGGATTGTAGCTGTAAAACTAGAATTTGTTCAAAACCGGTCACAGCTAAGAGCAGAGAGGCATTTCATAGCAACTCACTTTTGAAATAAATACAATTCTTCCAAACTTTCTCATTCACTTCTAGCAAAGCTGCACTGTCCCTACGCTTGAAGCTAAATAAAAAGATATATAAGAGTTTTAACAAACAAACAAATGTGTGCAAGAGAGAGAAGGGTCTCCTAATCTCAGGTTTTCTGTACCTCTGTTACATGTACGTGTTTATAAATGGTTGCAGATGAACTGTATGTTTGAATGCATGTTTTAACAACAGAGATAGACTTTTGTATCCACGGAAGTGAAATCATTGTTGCTGCATAAAATCTCACTGCCCCTCTATCTTGCCTGAGTCTGAGCAGTATTTGTAAAAGAGTCTATAAGCCACATTTAGGAGGTAAACATCCCTCAGGGCAGAATACTTTCCTTGTGAGCTCACTTCAGTCCTAATTTGCTTGTTTTTCTCCTGTACCCCAGTGTCCCAACAGTTGGCCCAGTGCAAAATTGGCAGATACTTCTTTCTCTGGGACTAGAGGCTGATTTTATGTTGACATATCTGTTTGTCCTTGACCGAGAGGAAGTATTCTCACATAACCTCAACTTCATTTACACAAAGTCAAGCAAAAGTAACAAGCACTGCTAAAGTAAATACAATGCTACGAAGAGTGTCCTTGAAATTGAGACTCTTTCAAAGACATCTAATATTCTCACTAGAATAATAAAGAATATTATGTGGGTGTTACATGGAAGAAAAAAGGGCGAATTGAGCAGTGGTGCAGGCGCATTTTTGCCTGGATTTCTGCAGAGTACTGGATATTTGACAAAGAAATACGGATCTGGTTTGCTTGTAGTTTTGTGAGTGCTTGGTTTGACTTGTACTTTTCGTTGTAAGGGTGCGGTTAAATCAGACTGAGGCTCTCTAAAGACTGGCAAAATGCTGTCTGCTTTAAAATGTTTCCGTAGTTTGGAGTAGCATAAGCTATGAAGTGTAGTAACTAAACTGCACTGGTTTTCTTTAGCAACAGGAAGTCTGGCTTTGATCATGTGATTAAATGAAATTAATTTTTAAAGCAGGATAGTTTTAAACAAAGGAAGAACTTGCTTTTGAATCATCTACTGCCTATGGCTCAAGCCAGCAAACAACCACAGTGGATCAGGAGAATCAGATGTTGCTGATCTAAGCAGATAACTATGTGACAGCAAAATTTAGTCATCCCTGTAGAGAGCTTTTTATGATGTAGCCCTGCCTATTATCCACGGTTTTGCTTGACTATTTTAGAATGGAATTGCAGCCCAAGTTTTAATTTTGTGAGTAGTCATTTATCCTCTCTTGTCAGTTTACACTTTGGTGGTGCAGGTTTTTCCTCTCGACGTGTCAACCTAGGGCTGGATATGTGCTTCTGGGAAAGTATTCCTTTCTGTTCATCATGTACGGTCCCACGGTGGTGGTAAGTCGGTGTCAGAACTCAGGGTCAGGCCTGGTGACAGCTGAGTTAGAACGGGCCACAGTGGCCATGCCCTGCTGAGGACTTGCAGAAGGAGTCACCAGGCACATTTGTGTAGCAGCTTCTTCATCCTGCGACTCAGACCCTTCTCCTGGTGCCGGCAGGACAGGGAGGGAGCAGAAAATACTTGGGTCTGTCAGCTCCCCGAGCCAGTCTTACCTCTGGAGAGGAGCTGGAGCCAGTCCCACTCAGCAGAACTGCTGCTGCCGGTCACCCATTCTGGGGCAACCAGACATGGCTTTATCCCGCTGTTGTCTCCTAAATTTCAATTCGTGCTGGAGCAGTACCCACCCAGGCTTAGTGAAGCCCTTGGTGTTTGGGACTTTCTCCCATGTCTTTGTAATGATCGTTGTGATCACGTAGCTTTTCTTGTAGAACTGCATCATGGACTTGCCAGACTCTTGCAAGCAAAAGACTTCTGTGGGACATCTTTTAAGTTTCCCAGACAGGGGGCATACCAAATTGTTTAACTTCTGCCAAATCATCAGGAGAATGTGCATCAGTGTTTCTAATGATTCTTGACAGGTGCCTCCTAATCTTAGCACTGTAGACTGTTAACCCTTCCTGAAATAATAGGATTCACGGTATTCAGCCTGACCTCAGTGCCGGGGAAGGTGATGGAACAAATCATCCTGAGTGAGATCACAAGGCATGTGCAAGGACCATCAGGGGATCAGGACTAGCCAGCATGGGTTCATGAAAGGCAAGTCCTCCTTGACCAACCTGATCTTCTTCTGTGGCCAGGTGACTCGCTTGGTGGACGAGG